CCACAAACCAGAAATGAATGTTTCCTTGTCCTTAGGTTACCTTTGATAGCAAAACCAAACTGAAAAGGAAATGGGGTGACATTTTTTTACTCTTCCAGTGGTCACCCAGTAGCCTCCACCCTTCCTCCAAGGAGAATATTACAACCTCCTTGCTACTTATCTCCAGCAGTTTGTCTTTAGCTACAGACTTCCACTCTGCCTGGGAGAAACAAGTAAATAAAGCCCATATTTCAAGCTTGATTTACTCTGATACCTACTGTGAAAGATTATGACTCTTTAGGGAAATAAAGACAGGGTCAGGGAATTAGTGTACATAATGGTCATTTTGATAATGGGCCAACAGATGCAACTGGAAACATACTGTACACAATTAAGCATAATGCACTAATGACAGGTTAGAGTTTTTATCGCCTCTCTGCGATCGAGCAGCAAATCCAAGTTTAGCAGTAATAAAGAGTTTATTGGTGCTAAAGCCAAAGATTTTCTGACAGAGGAAAGATTTTTCCTTTCATAACAAGAGTATTAAATCCTTTGTTTACTAGGCTCTGGAAAAGAGATATGCAAAGTGGTTGTCAGATATTTCTTAGGAAAAAGCCAATTAAAGGGTAATCGAGTAAAGGATGAGAATTACCATTTGACTTCAAATGTCTCCTCTTCTCCTGCTCTCTCCCTCCTCCACCCCCTAACAGCACCGTGCCCCTGTGGACAGCTTCTCCTCCAAAGAACTTCAAAATCACGGATAATGATCCGAATCCCATCTCTTTTACTCATGAAAGTAGAGCAGACCTGTCATATCTTAACAATTCTGTATTTTGTAGTACAGCAAGATCTCGTCTGCAGGCTTAATTGAACAACAAAACTGTGTACCTGAAATACAGATAAAAGCGAAAGGGAATTATTGGAGTAAAACAAAACGCTGTCTGCAGGGCTGGCAAGGTTTTGTGTCTTCTCTCTGGTTTGAGTTGGGTGTTGGGAGGATCCTACTGGATAAAGGGGTGGAAGATGCCTGTCCCTGCATGGTTCCACTGACTTCCTTATGATCCCACCTCTCTCCAGGGCAGAGTTTGGCTCAGGGTGTTGTCACCAGGACACTCAGACTCCAAATCTGAAATAAAAAGAATGAAGCATTTGCTTCCCACTGAGGTTTATTTCCATGAGCGACGCTTTGGTTTGTGGTCTGGTGGAAATACATTTTATTAATGGTGTTTCTGGGGTGTAATAGGCGGTTTTCTGCCACAAATGTTCCTTTAGCCAAGCAGTATTTGAATTGGACCAAACTGAAGCCACTGCTCGTGCTTCTAGCAGGGAGGATTTTCTTGCTTAGTGTTGAAATTTAAGTACAAAAGTCTTTCTGGTCTATTTGCTACAACACCTCCTCTCACAGAGGTTAAGAAGAGGTGAACAGGATGAAAAAGCACTTGCAGGGTTTAAAAAATCTTCTATGGAAAAAGCCCATCTTTCATTTCACAAAAAAAAAAGTCTCCTGTAGGTTGTTATGTGCATAAGGTGGAGGCTTAAGAGCAGCCACATTTGCAGATGAACTGCTTTTCCTCGCTTCTCCGAGACATGACATTTGTTCAGAAGATTAGCCAGGTTGTAATGTGTAGCATAATTGCACTGTGCGGATGTCCCAGAAGTGAAAACCTAATTGCTTGACAGGCCTATAACTTTGTGGTACTGCTCTCACCTTGTTAGGTCCTTTTCTGATGCGGTTCAAATGCAGGCTGGCCGCAGGTGTGCCTAATTTACCTCGCAACAGAACGTGTTGAGTTTAATTGCACAGTGGTTGTTAGGAAAAATTGGTGGGTGGAATATCAAGTGACTCACTGTATGTGGATGGCAGATGGGCGGCGAGAGGCATCAGAGCTAAGTGTATAGGTGAGGTGAGTTAATAAAAGATGTAAATTTTAGCTTAAAATAGTGGAGTCTTGTGGAAGGTAATACATTTTAATTAAGAGGGTAGCAGGCCCCATTCTAGCAGTGGGAAAAAATCAGAGCAAGGGGACATGGCAAAGAGTGCATTTTTCTCCCTATCAGTATTTTAGGAGCAGCTTAGCCTGCTTGGGAAGGCTGTTTTGCAAGGCTGTATTTATTAAGGAAGGCTAAAATTTCTGCTTATAATACAAAATACGGTAGGGAAAGCCAAACCTAGAAGGGCTTGAATTCTCATTCTTGTCTCAAAGTTTGAGATGAGACCAAGCAGAGCTCTGCTCCATGTCCTTGCCTCTTTGCTTCTTCGTGGCTGGGATGGGAGGGATGGGTTTGCAGTGCCCACAGTCCTTGGTGGTCAGCTGAGAGCAACCACCAAGTCAATCATCTCCTCCTGGTACTGAGGAATGGCCTGCCTGGAAATGTGGTTTTTAGCTTATGTTATCTTCCTCTGAAATGCTTGTCCTGGTGCCACCTGTGCTCTGTGGGCTCTGAAAACGCAGAGTAAAGAGAGAAATAAAATATCCCAGTATCAAGGAATGTAGTGGAGCTGAAATGAGAGTGCTGCTTGTGTTCACTCCAGCCTGGCATCAATATTTAGCCCGGTGCTCAGAGCCATCCTAATAAACTTGATGATGTCTAATTTCACCAAGAGTGGGTCCTTTTCACCAAATAATGGAACAAATACCGGTTCCAGTTGATGTTTAGTGAAAGGGTGCTTAATGGCCCTTTTTCTTTGACAGGATGCGAGCTCTCTGTATAGAAACAATTCATCATGAATGCTTCACGCTAAAAACAATCCACGAGGAGCAATACTTAGCATTCCTAGTGCACAATTCATTGGAGAATTTCCGAGCAATTTACAAACATTAGCTCAATAAGCCTCACAACACCCATTTGAGATCAGAAAAAAAAAAAAAAAAAAAGAAAAAAGAAGAAGATAAGATGCTGCTCTTCAGCCTGGATGTGGCACTAAGGAGCCGTAAAGCTGGAGGCTGCTCCCAGCTCCTGGCTCCCCAGAACTGGGCGGTTCTGTGTGGAGCTGGGCATCAGCTGGGCCTTGCACAGGCTCACAGTCTGGATGGTGGGAGCTGTGCAAAACCAAACAGGGGTCTGACAGAAAGGATGTTACCTTTGGAATAATAGAATCGGGGAATGGTTTGGCTTGGAAGGGACCTCAAAGATCGTCCAGCTCCAACCCCTCCGCAATGGGCAGGGAACCTGGCCCATAATCAAATGATCTGGAGAGAATAAGTATCTCAAATAAGAACAACAAAAAACTAATCCAAAACACAAAAAAACCTCCAAAACATGGCAGATAAAATTAGAGGGAATTTATGGCTTACCTAGAGGCAGTTTCATGGAGTTTCTGATAATATCCCTGCAACAGCATCCAGAAAACCTGAGAATCTGAGCTAGGAGGTCATGTCATCCACCACAGAGATCCAGATCTTTTTCAGCTCGACAGCTGAAACCCCTTTACAGGTTTTGGGATAGGAAGTTTTAAAGAAATGTGCATTCAGCTGAACTGTCAGCATCGATTTATTTATGCAGTTTCAGTAAACCTGGTTGTTTCCCTGCTTGCCTCTCTGATATGAGAGATTGCTCCTTCAGCATTCGTGTCCTGGGGTAACATCAGGGTGCTGCTCAAGGTTTAATGGAGGAGGAAGAGCTGGGATTAAAAGTTTTTGAATAGAGGTGTTCCCATAATGCTCCTGTATGACCCTCAAAGCTTCTCAGGATGTGGTGCAGCCACTGTTGTTCTTTCTGCTGGCCATGGCTGGGCCTTGTTGGGTGCTAAAGGAGGAAAGATGTTCCTGTCTTCCCTCCTGCCAGGAATGCTCTTGGCACACGGGAGCTTCTGTGAGGTGTGTGCAGCAAGAATAGTCCCAGTCACTTATGAAGACTGACATGAGTGAATAAATCAAAGTTGTTCACATTCTGAACGTGGAAGCTCTGGCTGACCTCACTGTCCGGCATGTGCAAAGTTGGGCAGCATGAGCTGCTGGGCTGGAGCATCTGAGGAACTCTGGCTGAGGAGAAAATCCTGAGCTTCGCTTGTCATTAGCGGTCGGTCATTAGCCAGAAAACCTAATTAAGACATAGTTTTATTATGAAAGATGAAAACATGAGCGCATAAGTAAAAAGGATGATGTCAGGCTGCAAACGTCCTCCTGAGGATCCCGCGGTTTGCTTCACCTGCAGGGTGGAGCCTTCCCAGATCAGCTCGTTCCTGCAGGAGGGCGGCAGAAAGGAGTTTCCATCTTCCCAAGCTTCCCCCCTTCCCTCTAAGTGCTTGCTGTGCTCCCCTGAGGCAGCGCTGCTGCAAAAACGGTTTATGGGGAGATGCCTGGATGATAAGGGTTAGTCCTAAATAATTGCCGGTTGCCGCTCAGCAGAAATAAGCTGGATTTCGATCCCTGGGTAGAGCGACTCCTCACAGCTGAAGGCTGGCAAAGGTTGAAGAGGTCGTAAGACAGGGCCTAATTTGCCATGTTCCTTCCCTTTCAAAAACAATGAGGGAGCCGGGGCCTTGCCGGTGGGCAGATCCTGCCTGGATCTCCCTGGAGTCAGCAGGAGTTGGATCGAGTCCCTTTGAATAGCTCGAGTTTCCAAACTGGAGGCAAAGCCAAGTGTTTTTCAGAAGATTGATCATTACCTTTGGAATTTTTCGACGTAGAGGTCATTACTGCTAATATAAGTTGCGAAAAAAAATGAAAAGTATTAAAAAAATAGAGACAAATTCTCATCTGGTGTAAGTCATTGCCTTTGAAGTCAATGAGTCATTGAAATCAACTTTCCCACACCGAGCTGAGGATATGGCCTGGAGTCAATACATTTGTAGTTGTTGAAAAATTAAAAATATAAATTTGCCTTTCCTTGGCAATAATGTTCTGTTTATGACAGAGATCTTATGCTTTAAAATAAGTTCATTAACGAATGGGAAAGTAATATTTCACTACCAGTATTCTTTTGGGTATAACTATTTATGATTAGATTTTATTAAACTTCTAAAAAATTGGATTTACATTTTGATGAATCTAATAGATTTCAATTTTGTATTTTTATAGATTCTTCCTAAAGTTTTTCCTCAAGTGCAATCAGAACTGTTTGAAGAATGCAGGCAACCCACGAGACATGCGAAGATTCCAGGTACAGATCCCTCTAAATGCATGAATGATGTATACAAGACTTGATCCCATCTTCATCTTGAACTTATGAAAAAACACAGTTGGTGCTTCAAATCAGTGTTGTTCCAGTGCTTAAAAAAATGCTGTCAGTATTTTACATTGCTCTCATTAATTTAAGTGCTGGTTCTGAAGTTCTGCAGGGGGCTGTAATGGATCAATGTTGGAGCAAGTGGATCTTCCCTTAGGAATTATTTCCCTAATTTTCCTTCCTACTATCACCTTGTGTTGTGGTGTGCTCTTTGCTCAGACCTGCAGAGGTTTTATGTAGACTGAGTAGTTTGACCTTACTTTAAGAACACAACTTTGGAGCACAGGGAAGTTTGAAACTCGCACTTCTCTGGTTCACAACTTGTAGATCCAGCAGTGGTGGCCCAACCCACAGATTTTTGTTTCAATGTTTAATACTTCACTTTCTCCTTACAGCCTTTGAGATATCCTGTGGTGAATCATAGCACTACAGAGAGGCAGCTGACGGGATGGACAAATGATTTCCTCTGTATTTGGGGTCATTCGAAAGGCTCATTAGGAAATAACTGCCTTTTTTTTGTTGCTTTCCAAGATATTTCACAATGATTCATATTTGATTCCAGCAATAAAGTAGTATTGAGATGTTCAGGACTTTCTCAGTTTGGAGAAGAATTACTTGTGGTTAAACTTGATAGCAAAACATGTGACATCTGTTTTCATGCACAGCCAACCAACCGGGGAAGCCAGCACCCTTGAGCCGGCCAACAGAAAAGATCTGTAACTGGAAAAAAAAAAAATTCCTTCAAAACAATCGAGCCAGGCTTCCATTTTTCATGCATCTCAGCTTCACGTGGCATCGGTGGTATTGATCCATCTGAACAGAACAGAAGGTCAAACCTGGAATGAGTGGAAATGTCCTCTTTGTCTCACTGATGACTAAATGAAGCATCAGTCACGAGTGATCTTGTGGTCGACAATGGAGCCAGTAGGCACTAGAAAGACTTTCCTGGGTCTCTTTAGCTAATCTCCCTGCCTCTCAGAAGGTTTAACTGGACTTAACAGCATGTCAGATCTTGAACAGTATTTTTACCTGGTTTCCCTGCCTCAGCACCTTTGTGGAGGTGCACTGCAGGAGTGAGGCGATATAACAAAGCGTAGCACGTCAACTTTCTTTTGCTGAACTACAGTATTTTCCCTTGGTGGCTGACCTATATAGACATGACAGAACAAAAATAGTTGTCATTTTCATATACACCTTGCTCTGTCTCTTTAATACACCGTGTTCTAGGAACCAAACCCAGAAATCCTGGCTGGAAATCACGCTTGCATGTTTCGCAATATTTCTGGAAGTCTGGGAATCTCATTAAGAGTGAAAGAGGATAGCCCAGTGGCCTGGCAGCAGCTCTGCGGCCGAGCTGAGCGTGCAACCTCAGCACTCTCTGAAGTGGATGTTGACAAGAGGGAAGGTGTCCACTTCTGGGAGGGGAGAGCTGGGGAAGCAGAGCAGCCTGGCAGAGAACTGCCCTGGGGCTGTTCTAAAGGGTACCGCAGATGGCTGTCTCCAAGGAGGCAGGATACACAGAAAAGGTGCTGTGATAGCTGAGAGCTAATTATGGCTTGTGAATAAGAAACAGGATCAGAGGTGCTCCAAAACATAGGAGCAGACAAGAATTTTCTTCTGATGCCTTGGACCAGCTCTGTGCGGAGGAGGCTCTCTGCTCCCCTTCCGTTTGTGTTCGTTGAGTGCTTTGGTTTAGAAGCTGGTGGGAGAACCCTGCAATCATCTTTGTTGTAACCAAAATTTAGATAAAAGGAAGGTGGACACTAAGATTTGTCCCGCCTTGATCTGCCCTCACCAGCTGTGTTGACAAGGTCTGACTTAGGCAGTGACTTTAAGGACTCTGCTCACCCCAAAGGAAAATCTGCAGCGGTCGCTTCCTTTAGACAACCTGGAACCACAGGGAAGGGCGCACGCTGGAGTATTTAAATAAGATGTAAATGTCAGTCTGGGATGGCAGTGATGCACCTACGAAGCCGTGCTCCACACCAGCCCCGCGCAGCTCGCGGTTTCCTCCAGGGCTGGCGCTTCTGGAAGGAGTCCCACGGCTCCATTGTGGAGGTGTTGGCATTGGGAAGGTTGTGCCTTTTGCATATGTTCCTTTGCCATGTTCGACTGAGAAGCAGCTGGAAGCCAAAGGAGGCCCTATCCATCATCTCTTCTATGGCCGGACTCTGAACCTGGACACAAGAATAGGAGCCTTTCACTCAAAAATAAAGGAGGAAATTCCATTGACATACCAGGGTCAATCACCATCCAAATGAACTTGAGAAGGGATACTTTTCATGGATTGAAAACACTTTCACTATTCATATTCAACTCGGCCTTTTCAGATGCAAAAAAGTTCATTATCAGACATTAAATGTAATTGTAAAACTGACCTGGAGATCATTTACTGAAGAAAAAATGGGGAGTTACAACGGCTCTTGATTTATTAAGCTTTTTTTATTTGTAATCCTCACAACCCTTCATTTGAAGACAGTCTCAAGTGAACAAATTTTAATTAGATAAACTATCTAATCAATATATCAACAGATCAATCAAAACAGCAGCTTTTAAAATGAGTGGCTAGAGGGGTGTTTCTGAAACTAATGGCTAGAAGAATATTTCCCTGAATTGAATTCATTTGTTAGCATAATAGGAGATTAAACTCTAATTAGTGTAGCAGGTTCTGAAGAGAAACAATTGTGAGTTAAAAATCACCAGTGGTCGCCACGTAAACAAAGATGTATTCAGAGATGTCATTCACTCGGTTTAAATAGAAACAGAAAAGTAAGAGAATGCTGTTTTGTCTTACGAGACCTGATTCAGGGAAAATCTGCAGGATTTTTTAAATGTGGGGTTTTGTTTTCTCTTCCAGGTTGTTGTATCAACAACAGTCAATGTGGATGGCCACGTGCTGGCTGTCTCAGACAACATGTTTGTACACAACAATTCCAAACACGGGAGGCGGGCTCGCCGCCTTGACCCCTCAGAAGGTACGGCCCCTTCTTATCTGGAAAATGGTAGGCACACATTTACATGTCCTTTTTTTTTTATTTGCAATGCTTTTATTTATTTTATTATTTTTTTATTTCCCCGTTTTTTTTTTTTATTTTCACCATACTTTATGTTGAGACACCACTACATTTACTTTTACATCATTTCTTCTCTCATCCATCAAAGCACCCATTAAAAAAAGTCCATTAGTATTTCTCAGCCCTTGTCAACTACAACACGGACGCTTCTGAATCAGCTTCTGACTTCTTTCTTTATTTAATACTTACGGTTTTGCAGTCACAACCAATTTTTCACCTTTTCCTATTTTATTTCTTCTCCTTTTTTTTTTTTTCAGTCTTGTTTTACTTGCAGCTTTTTCTTGCTCTTTAATTTGACTTGATTTTATTTTGGCTTGTCATATTCCTTGATCCAGAGGTACAGTCTCAGGTTATGTATGCAAGTTTAAGTGGATGGTAAAAACATGACCGAATCCGTAAAGAATTTACTGTGAGGTCAATTTCCTGTGCCTGGGCCTTACTGCAGATTACGGCAGGAGGGGGTTTGGATGAGAAAAACAGCATAAAATGTTTTTCTTCAGCCTGACTCAATGTGATTGACTTCTTGCCTGAACTGCTAAAAGAAGATAGGCTGAGATGAAGAGGAGAATGGAAAGTGTCCCTGAAAATCCAGAATTGTGAAATCCTATCTTTTTGGAGCCCATCAGCCCCTGAATCACTCACACACAATTGCAGCTGCGCCTGGACACTTGCACACATGTATTTGTTGTCCTGCAAAGCCCAAAATAGTAATTTGGATTTAAATATCACTTCGTTTGGACTGTAAAATGTACCAGTGTAGGGATGCAAACCAGCTCTCAGGGAACCTCTGTTTAATAGGATAGGATAGGATAGGATATAGGATAGGATAGGATAGGATAGGATATAGGACAGGATAGGATATAGGATATAGGATATAGGATATAGGATAGGATATAGGATAGGATAGGATAGGTCAGGACAGAATAGAATAGAATAGAATAGAATAGAATAGAATAGAATAGAATAGAATAGAATAGAATAGAATATTTTCAGTTAGAAGGATCATCCAGTCCAACTTCCTGAAGAGTTCAATGTTGCTCAAAATTTAAGTGCACATTGAAATACATTTAATTTTAATGCATCTTGAGTTCTGGAAGAGTTAGACTCTCAAACCTGCTATGACCTGACGTGCTGGGCCACGCACACCAGCTTCCACAGGACTCCTCTTGCGAGTTGATACTAACGCACTGACAGGATCATGGCTTTTTACACTAATAAAATTAATTAAAGTGATAACAATACTAAGCTGCTAATACAATCACTGTCGTTTTACGTTTCAAATAATATTTACCAACGGGCAGGGAGGGGAATGAATGAGGCGAGCACCAAGTATCAGAAGGAAACGTGATCTAGACATCAAAAAATGGAAAGCCATTTACAAATCTGCCGCGGTCCGCACACACACACAACCCTAATTTGTTTTTCTGCATTAATAACTAAGGTATAAGAGACCAAAAATATAATAATTAAAGGTCGCCCTGAGCACCAGAGTCATTATGGTCTATGACGTATTGTTTATCTCTTTCATATGCGCGGAAAGTAGGTGTGTGTTTTGCCTAGCAACCGTCACTAATGAGGTTCACAATTAAGAAGGCTGAATCCTCTCCCCTCGTCCTCTCCTTCCCCAGAGAGCCAGAACTAGCAACATTATAGGTTCAAGTAAGCATGCTCAGCCCTGTGGTGTTAGGTTTTAGTCTAGGTCCAAATTCAGCCTCTTCTAATGAGCCATTATGATCTTAGCAAAATACGAGTATTTATTTTTGTAAGCTGCATGAAAA